GGATGTATTTTGGGATGAGCAGCATTATTTCTTGCAGTACTTCTGCATATTGGTACTTCTATGTGATATATGAATCTAATAAATAAATTACAATAGGAAATAATTGTTGAAGTGATTAAAATTTTTGTTGCTATATGTTATTACTTAGTTTGGATAACATACAAGTCCTATTTCTAGTGAGACTTAAAATAATGAAAGACAGCAAAGAAATATTTTCAGAGGGAAGAATGACATAGGAACCTCAAAGAATACCTAATTGTCACTTAGACCAGACCAGGTAGTTAAATAATTTTCAGAGGCCTTTTTCTGGAAGTTCCTACCTTCTGAGATAAGGTGAATGGTCACTTGGGCTAGGAATCTCTCAGGGACAGTACCCACATATGAAATATATTTCTATTTTCTTAGGCTTTAAAATGTTTAGATGTAATCGTTTTAGTTTCTCTTCTACCACCAACTCCTTGATCCATTGTTGTTTTCAATCATTATTATACTTTATTTGGAAAATATCCCTCTTATAACTCTTGGAATTATAGAGTTGGAAGGGCCATTTAGGCCATCAAGTCAAGCTCTCTGTTGACTTGATGGCCTAATGCAGGATTAAAAAATGAAGCATCCTAGACAGATGTCTATCTGGTGTCCATCTGAACACAGCCACCAGAACAGAGCCCACCAGCTCTCTGGGTAAATACTCTTAAACTGATATTACTGTTAGGAAGTTATTCTCCTCCCCACCATCCCGCCCAACTTTATAGTTTAAATCTGTTAGTCTGTGATCTGCACTCTGGAAGGAAAGACAGAACTTGTGGTGACTTTCTTCTATGTGATATCCTTTCAAGTGCTACCTTATACCCTCTCAGTTACCTTTTCTCAAGCTAAACATAACCAGTTCCTTCAGTCAGTGTTCATAAGGTTCAGTTTCTAGTCCCCAACAATTTTCATTGCCCATTTCTGCACCTGTTTTTAATTTCTCTGAATTCTTCTTAAACCTAATCCTAACTCTTTTTAAACTGGTGCTCAGAAGTAGACATAATATTCAAAATGAGCTCTGATCAAAGCAGAGAAGAATGGAATAATTGTTTCTGGTGATTTGGAAACTAAACTCTTGATGCAGCCTAAAATTGTATGTGTCTTCTTTGCAGCCACATCATACTGCTAATTCCTATTCAGTTATCAATCAACTGCTGTTCTAAGATCTTTTTCAAGTTCTGTTGCCACACCATGTCCCACATTTTATAAATAATTTGATTTCTTTTTTCCCTAGGCGAAGAACTTTACGCTTGTCTCCATTACATTTTATTTTGTTACTTTGAGCCCATTTTTCCAACCTATCAACTTTGTTTTGAATTTCTCTCTCATAAGGGATTAACTTTCCCATCCATTGTTATGGTTTTAATCTCTCTAGGGGAAACTACTGAGCGATTTTGGTACCCAGTAGTATATATATTCTGAAAAATAATTTCACAAGTAATGAATAATCATTGGAGGAGCCCTGAAAAAACTAGTCCCTAGTCCTTGAATACTTCCCTTAGCTCCTGCCAGATTACCTCTTAATTGGCCTGAAATTAAAAAATAAATAAATAAGCCAGGTTGTGGCATGCTGCAAAAACCCACATGCAGCATTCCCCTTGTTCCTGAAAGTACCATTACGTACCCTATGCACTCCTAGAAAATAAGACAGTAAGTGGCTACAAGCAAATGAGATATTAGATGTGTGCACCCTGCCCAGAGAAAAAACAAAGGTAAACTGGAATGGTGGTCAGCATCTTGGGAGACTAGAGAGTTTGGTGAGGGACCATCTTTCCTGTGCATTCTGTTAAGTAGATGCCTTACTAGAAGCCACCTCATTTTGCCATTGGGCAATCTCCTGGCAAGAATTTTGTGATAAATAACTGTGACATGCTCTAAAATTTCCTATATGCCCACTGACCCATAACACATGGTAATCCCTGTTCTAACTAAACAGAGTTATGGAGTATAATTAAGACGTTGATAATATAATACATTTGAAATTTGATTTTGAAATCTAGGGCACAGATTGAAAGACTCTGAAAAAATGGAGCTACTAGTAATAGCAGTGTCTCTATATATGGCTGAACAACTTAGATCACAGAGATTTCTGGGAGCTCCAAGGTAAGTTTGATTCTAGAACATTTTGTTAATTAGTTAATGGTATATTACTACACTGAGAACTGTTGAGAATTGACAGGATGTTTTTTGTTCCCTTTAAACATTTTGTTTATGAATGTAGGTTCTTTTGCACATCATCTACTAAAAGTCACCTGGGCAATAAATTAACATAGATTATAGGTACACAATCTAAAGCTTTAGTTTGCCCCCAAAGTCTTGGGTGAAACTCTTTAAAAATGCAGGAGATGGGAGAAATGATTACATTTCTTATGAACTGTAATCATTGTAAATCATTAAATTAATGAAAATGAAATCTGATATTATTTTTGTGCTGGTCCTTCCTAATTTTTTGGAGTGTGACCTAGTGAGTTACAGTTCACTATGTATTTATGACAAGGAAGAAAGAAAGAAAAAGAAAAGAAAGAAAGTCATTCTGTTTGTTGAACAGATTCTGTGTTGCTTAGGTAGCAATATTCAGTTTCAAATAACATGCTGAAATTCAGAATTGTGAAAGCTGTGATAATGTATCAACATAGTATGTCTAGAGTTTTGGGAGAAGTCCTAATTTTCATATAAATCACCGAAGCAGTACAGGTTTGGTTACTAATTTTTAATTTTGTGAATAAAGGCAGAAATGCATTCAGTCAAATGCCACTTTCCTGTACAGGTAGTTCTCGATTTACGACCATTCATTTAACAACTGTTTGAAGTTACAATGGCGCTGAAAAAAGTGACTTACAACCAGTCCTCACACTTATGTCCATTGCAGTGTCCCCATGGTCATGTGATCAGAATTTGGGTATTTGGCAACTGGCATGTATTTATGACAGTTGCAGCTTCCTGGGGTCATGTGATTGCCATTTGTGACCTTCCCAGGGGGCTTTCGACAAGCAAAGTCAATGGGGGAAGCCAGATTCGCCTAACAACTGTGTGATTCGCTTAATGACTGCGGCAAAAAAGGTAGTAAAATCGGGTGCGACTCACTTAATTACTGCATTGCTTAGTGATGAAAATTCCGGTCCCAAATTCTGGTTGTAAGTTGAGGACTACCTGTAAATAGAAATATCTCTTCCATTGTTTTAATCCATATAGTTAGAAATGCATGCTCAATATAGTTAAGCTATAATTATGTGAGGTGAATCTGGATGCTTAGGCATATGTATGTTAGTTATAGCTGGACATTTCATTTTTTCATTTCATTTCATTTCAAAATTCACCAAAATGAAATTTGATCATTAAAATTGTTTTCAGTAAGTCTTCTACTTTTTATACAGAGGGTAGTCTTTTTAAGTAGACGTCTGCTCATACAATGGGAAGTTCCCTTGTTCTCCTCCTCGCTGTATCCCCTGTGTCTACCAAATCTGCTCTGATTGAAATATAGAATGATTTCTTAATTCTTTTTAAAGGAATAAAGACTTTAAAATGTAAAGTTATAGCTGCAGCATTGTTTTTAAAAATGCCACAATTTGACATATAAATTCTCAAAATTTCATGGGTTTATTGTAGTAGTTCATATTCCACATCTTATTAGTTTTTGTCTTAAATGCATCTATTGAATGCCCTGTTGGCAAAAAAAATTCCCACGAACCCTCACAATTGGCCCTGTTAGGTAGGAATTTATGGGAATCGTACAATATATGGAAGGTTACATCTTGCCTATTCCTAACTTAGGAAACAGGTCTGTGTTAAGATACTTTTTGTGATGGAAAAATAGTGTGAACTATTAGCATATGCTGAAACTCAAGTTTCTCTAAGATCATCAGATGTGCTCTCATGATAATATCTTTTTGTGATGATACTATTCTATTCACTGGTTGACCCCTTTTTTCTAAGAATCTCCACAATTATGACCCTGTTCCAGAATGCTTATGAAATCTTCTGACATACCAGTAAATCCAGCTAAGTAGTTAAGAGTCCTTCTGCTGGGAGCTCTCCCTTCAACCTTGCTCTAAAAAGAAAATAATATGCTTTGAATTCTCCTTTGGCTTTGAAGGATATTTCAGACTCTTAGGAGGAGGCATTGTCTTTTGGCAATAGGCAGGGAAGGAGCCATTCTGCTAACCTGCATTGGCCCATTCTGTGGCAGTAATGTACCATTTTGTGCCACTTGTTTTTTATTTATATATATATATGTGTACACACACACACACACACACACACATATATAGAGAGAGACTGAGACTGAGACTGTGCGTGAGTGCAAGCAAGTTACTCCCATTGGTCTTACTTCTATTCTGAAGGTCTTTGTGACTCTAGTAGTGCATCTCAAATAACAAGGACCTAGATGACATTTTAATTTGTTCATTATCCCAAGCAGCAGAAGATAAGAGATAACTAGATGACTTGATAATACCTTCATGGCTTTGTAATAAATGTTCAGAAAAAAATCCTTGTTCTGATTCAGATCATGGAACATCTGGGTTTTTACTCTAATCAACCATAGTTGGAGTCAATCTGTTGTTTGACAGATATTGCAGGCTGTGAAAACTGGCCACTTAACTCCAGATGGCAATGATGACAGTAAGTTTAGCTCAGTTCCTTGGTATGACAATTTCATGTCAAGATCTAGTGGATTGGTCCAGATTTTATTTCAGAGTAATTCAGGGGATGCTTCTGCGGATCTAGGAATAGATAACCAATTGTACATCAATCCAGATTCTCTTCCCTAGCAAAGTATGACATTCTCTAGACTGGAGGATGTTGTTATCACAGATTTCAGCCCCTCGGAGTAAGTAGAGGCAGGTAAGTAGAGCCTATCTGGCTGGAGCTCAGATTGGTTGGTTCTCCCTGGTTTTCAAGAACGTGTCTTGAAATATGAAATATATTATCTTTAAGATACAGGGTATAGCCCAAAATTGTTTGAATAACCAGGAAGGAATGAACTCAGTTCACTTGCACAAAGGAATTGTCAGTTGAACTGAGCATATCATCTAGAACTGATAAAGCTGAAATAGAAAAGGATCATTTTCATGTGCCACTAAACACAGTATGAAGACACCTGTCCAAATGTTCTTAGAAGACATGTCCTTGAAATGCAGCCTTTCTCTTATCCTCATCCCACTGTACCTAAATTAAACATAGCTATTCCAATTTTAAAGCAGCGTGTTCCATCTTATCTCACCACAAGTCTTGGAGTATGAGTGTTCTGTAACATTTAGTTCATGGTCTTCATGATGGCATTGTTGGTGGCTGGCATCTGTTCAGCTTCCATTGGCTGTTGAGGCTGTTGTTGCTATAGGCATGCCCTCTCTGCTTTGATCAGTGATCATTACCCTCAATTTTGGCTTGGGCTTCTGGAAACTTGGTTTCCATGGAGACATCTGCCTATGTAATCTCTGATCCATGCTGTCTAGTTCAGGCATTATATGTAGGATCCTTATATACACTGGTATACTGGTCTTCTAGAAGACTACTAGATGTGTTATTAACCATGTATTCAGTCATACAAAAGATTGGTAGATCTATTTGTGAAAAAAGGGCTGCTGGGCAGTTTAAACTGAAAAATATATGTGTTGCTGGTTCCAACCCAAATGAG